GTGTCTCAGACTATGCACAACCCCACTGAGCAGGACTATCATGCCTTGAAACGCGTTCTGCGCTATCTCAAAGGCACTTTGAATCATGGTCTTCTTTTTCGCAAGGGGGGATTCGACCTATCTGTCTACTCTGACTCTGACTGGGCCAATGATAAAGATGATCGCAAGTCTACCACGGGCTACATACTCCTACTCGGTCCTAATATCATCTCTTGGTGCACGAAAAAGCAGACTCGTGTTTCTAGATCATCCACTGAAGCTGAATATCGAGCTATGGCTGCAGGGGTTGCAGAAGCTATGTGGCTTCGATATATCACTGATGCACTGGGTATTCCTCCGTCCAAACCGAAGTTATACTGTGACAATGAGTCGACTATCTGTGTCACCAAAAATCCGGTTCTTCATGATCGCATGAAGCATGTGGGCACAGACTGTCACTTTGTACGAGATGAGGTTATGGCAGGCACTATGACTCCACATCATGTTTCCTCCTCAGAGCAGCTAGCAGACATTCTTACCAAACCGCTTCCGCCAGTTCCTTTTGAGTACTTATGTTCCAAGCTGCCCCTCGTCTTCGTTGATCAGCTTGCGGGGGGATATTAGGAAGTATAATTAAATTAGGATACTTCTTTCCTTTCCTACTAGGATTATTCTTTCCTATTCCTACTTGTACTTTGATTACTCTTGTATTCCCTATATATAGGGCCATATCTCTCAATATACAATAAGATAAGTTATTATCAAATTGTATCATATATCTTATACCGAGGATATCTCAGCCTAATACAGTTTCCTCCTCCTAGCTAGCCTCCCTCTTTATTATGAGATTTATGGCTTCCTCCCCTCTATAGCCTATTCTACGGTATATATACCTTATTGCATGATATTGTGTTCCTAATCTCGATAACTCTTTACTTTAGATTTGTTTGTTTAAAATTTTTCCAAATTTCATATTCTAATTAATAGGCATATGTTTCAAATTTTTGTCGGATATTTTTGTTTAAGTTTTTTTTCTTTCAAATTTTCGGATTTTATCTTCAATCCTAAAAAATAATTTTGTATCTTTTGTTATTGTACATTTCAAACTGATTTAGTAATTTTTTGTATCCTGATTCTTACATGCTCAATTCATTTTAATGTGTTAATGTTTCATTCCTAATCCGTTAAAAGGTTTGATCTTTTTTTGCATTGTTTTTTGTTGTATTTCAGAGCTAATGGTTTTCATTTTGTTACTTAAAAATTAGATCTTTTAGCTATAAAAATTGATTTTGTATAATTAATTAATTAAATTACTAATTTTAATTTTTAGTTTTTTGTCAAGAAGTGAATTGACTTTTTTTGGAACTTCAATTCATTCTTTAAAAAAGTGTTTGGTTTATTACAACTATTTTAGTTTTAAAATTCTGATATGTAAACTGATTTTCAAATCACAAGTAAATCATTACTTGTAAAAAAAAGAATCATTTTTATTCTACATTTTCAATTTGAAAGATCCATTCTTCTTACTAGTAAACTTATCATGAGGAACTTTACCTTTGTCTTATTTTTCAAAATTAATTTAGACTGTACTGTAGCCTAATTAAAACTTTTGAGTCATCCTCTTTTGAAAAAAAATGAAATTAATTATATTATATTTAATGAAATAATTAATATTAGGGAGTAGTATTTTTTCTTTATCAAAATATCTAGTTTTAACATAAAATTCGGGACCTAAATTATTAAATTGCACAGGGCCTTTCATAATGATTGGGCGCCTGGCACCAACCCATAGCCTAACCATAGATACTATTCATACTAATATGTACCATTTTTTTGTACGTAAAACAAAAAGTAAAATAACGTGAAATTGGCGTACAATTTTTGTTTTATTTTTTTATGTTGAAATAGTTGAAATTATGGAACGGATTGAGTGGAGTACGTACTTAATTACAAAAACAAAAAAGGTTGGGTGGATAGAAGAAACAAAAGCTGTGAATATATAAGGCCTTGTTTTCTTTTAAACTTTTTCCAAAATGTTTTGAGTTTTTAACAGTTTCTTTCAAGAAAGATCAAAAAAGTTATTTATATATCATACATATAAAATAATAGAAATTTACAGAAATAAGAGTAAAAGATGGTGTATTTCCGTAAATAGGAGTAGTCCTATTTGACTACACGTTTGAGCATGTATAATGACTAGAATAGCCTCCCACATTAATTAAAGAGAGATGGCATCCACGCGCTGCTATTGTTGGGAATCGCAAAAATTGCGGTCGTAGTTACCATCTAGGCACGCTTTTCTAACCCAAGAGGCTTCTAAGTCATTACTACACAATTAAGTTAGGGTTCTATTGGAAGAGAAGTTTGATGCTTAGCGATCATGAAGAGCCCAAAAGGCAAATCAATGGCGTCGAGAATGAATTTAGTGAAGACATGGGTGGCCCAGAGGGTGTGCAAAGTGTCCAACCGCACAGAGTCCTTAAAATTTAGGGTACCATATTTTTTAATTTGTTAATAATTTTAAAGAAAAAATATTCTAAAAATATAAAATAGGGCATAAAATGTAAATTTTAGACCGGTCCAATTTTTTTTTTCATTTTTCGTTGCCGGCCCTGAGTGAAGAGCACTTCTTTAGGGCGAGTAAGTTGTTTTAATTCCTATGTTTGATGTTTCAAAAAAAATCCTATGTTTGACAGACTTTAGTGTAATATGCACTGGAAATCAACCAAATTGGCATTTATGTAGTTAGATCGGTGAACCATGCTACACTTACATTAAAAATTATACCTCATTTGTACTCCACAATTATATACAAACATTTTGATGATTTACACCGACCCCAGTGTTGGTGTGTTAACAAAAATTTACACAGACATAAAGTGTCGGTGCATTAATAAAAATTAGTTTTACACCAACACAAAATGTTGGTGCAAACGTGCGGGGTACAAAGTGGAGTACAAAAATTTGGGGTACAAATAGCTTAATCCTAGATCGGTACATACATGTACGATGTTTGTTAAAAGTGAAATTTGCACTAAATGAGACTAAAACATAATGACTTTCCTAATCTAAGACTTAAACTTTTTTATTACGTAAATAGGACTTATTAATGTCTTAGTGGAAGGAATAATGTCCAGTAATGATGGTCATTTACTTGAATAATGACTAATTCATAATGACCAAAAGTTCTACATTGGGAAATAAAAACATATGATCCTATATATATTGGAAAAGTCATTATGTTTTAGTCATTATGTTTTGGTCCTATATTGGGAATAATATCCAGAGATGGTGGACATTTACTTGAATAATGACTAATGATCCTACATTGAGAAATAAAAACATATGGTTATATATTGACAAAGTCATTATGTTTTAGTCTTATGTAGGTAAATGAAGATTGATCATGAAAGATTGGTCAAGGCATTATAAAGATATGAATACACATAAATTGGGTAATTTTTGAAAATGGAAATATATACAATCTTCACTAAGAAAAATCCAAGAATTAAGTGTTTGTAGTGCAATTATTGGAACAAAATTTGTTGGTCATTAAGTCTTTGTGCATGGGTATTTTATTTAATGCTTTGTTTGATAAATATTTTGTTAAATTCATCATTGTTGGGATTAAGCCTTTAGCTTCAAATTTACTATTAAGTCTTTATGAACTAGTGTTTTTACTTTTAGTTAATGCTTTGTTGAAGAGTGTTAAGTGTTGGATATTTTATATTACCCTTTTAAGTCATTGTTAGTTTTTTAAGGACATAATTTGCAACTTTTTCTTGTTTAATAAGTTATTCTTAAATGGTTCGTACCAAGAAAAACAACAACAACAAGAACAACCCAGTTAAATCCCACAAGAGTAGGGTCTGGGAAGGTGTGTGTACACAGACCTTGCCCCTACTCGAAAGTAGAGAGGCTGTTTCCAAAGAGACCCCCGGCTCAACAAACCAAGAAAAATAAAAATACAAAAAAAAATTAGGTGATTTCAAAAATGAAAAATATACAAAGTACGTAATACTCCCTCCGTCCTTGAGTATTTGTCCACTTTTGATTTTTTTTGGTCAAAACTTGTAAACTCTGACCTCAAATTAAATAAAAATTATATTAGATATAGATACGAAAATAGTTTTGTTAGATTAATCATATGAAATATTTTCAAAATATTATTCTATCTAATTAAAACACAATATATATTTTATTGAATTATAGGTCAAAGGTTAAAAACGATGGATTGAAAAAAGTCAAAACTGGATAAATACTCAAAGACGGAGGTAGTATATTTTAAAAATGTAAAAAAAGGATGAGCCTCATTCCTGAGGATTCCCTAAGACCCGTCCGGATGGTCAATGATAAAAGGTATATTAAACTTTGATCACAATTTGATGGCAAAAATGGGAGATGAAGCACTGATTGTAAACGTGTTAAGAATTTGGAGATGAAGCAAAAGAAGTGACGGTTAATATGATAGAAAATGTAATAATTGCATCCTAAAAAATAGGAAAATTTAATGGTTGGTATTATCTCTAAATATATAAAGAATATAAAAATTAAGAATGGAAGGACAATATGCATGTGTACCAGCGCGTGGATGCGATCATGCGAGATAACATTAGAAGGGCAAATATGGATACATGAACAAATTTTAGTCTTAGAAAAGGGAAAAAAAGTAAAGAGTCTTATTTAGGGAAAAGTAGTGGCTTTTAGTCCTAGTTGCAACAAATTTTACATAAAATAACATTATATATCTAAATTTATAACATATCACCTCAAATACGAAGAGTGATGAATTTTTTTTAATCCAAAATTAGAGTTTTTTGTTGATCAATTCTTAAACATAAAATATAAATTAGGGATTTAATCATGTGTACCTGATAATCCTGTAAACGTAGTTAGGGATGAAGCCATGATTCTCACGCAGATCGAGTTCCCGTTTAGGGTGTATCGTTATGATGGCTAAGGTGAGGATGAGACTCACGAGAATAGAGAGGCAGAGAGAAGGCGTAAGATTGGTGTGTTAATCTATGCCTAATGACCTCTATATATNCGCAATGTATTCTGCCATCATTGTAGAAGTTGCAGTCAACTCTTGCTTATGACTCTTCCACGAGATAGGTCCGCCAGCTAACATAAAGATATACCCTGAAGTGGATTTCTTGTCATCTTTGCACTTAGCAAAATCAGAATCAGAATAACCAACCACTTCTAAATTATCACTCCTTCTGTAAATCAGTTTATAGTCTTTTGTCCCTTGTAGATATCGAAGAACTTTCTTAGTTGCTTTCCAGTGATCAAGACCAGGATTGGTCTGATAACGACCTAACTTTCCAGCAATGTAAGCGATATCTGGACGAGTACAGACTTGTGCATACATAAGGCTTCCTACTACTGACGCATAAGGTATCATTCTCATCTGTTCTTTTTCAACCTCTGTTTTCGGACATTGAAATAAACCGAAAACATCTCCCTTAACTACTGGAGCCACATAAGGAAAGCAATGTTGCATGTTATAACGTGTAAGGACACGCTCAATGTAAGCCTTTTGAGATAATCCCAAAATACCATTGACTCTATCTCGGTGTATTTCGATGCCAATAACATAAGAAGCCTCTCCGAGATCTTTCATGTCAAAATTACGCGAGAGTAAGCGCTTGGACTCATGCAACATGTCTAAACTATTACTTGCCAATAGAATGTTATCTACGTAAAGGACAAGTATAGTAAAGTTGCTCCCACTCATTTTGGGGTAGGTGCATTGATCCACTTGATTCTTTATGAAACCTTCTGACTTCAAGACTTGATGCAACTTTAGGTACCATTGACGTGATGCCTGCTTCAACCCGTATATGGATTTCTTTAGCTTACAGACTAGGTGCTCTTGACCTTCAAATTTGAATCCTTCGGGTTGTTTCATGAACACTTCTTCATCCAAATCGCCATTAAGGAAAGCGGTTTTGACATCCATCTGATGTAGCTCTAAGTCAAAGTGAGCTACAAGAGCCATAACGATCCTTAAGGAATCCTTTCGAGAGACAGGAGAAAACGTCTCTTGATAGTCAATTCCCTCTTTCTGAGTGTAGCCCTTTGCAACCAATCTCGCTTTGTAGCGTTCAATGTTTCCATTCGGGTCCAGTTTTGTTTTGAAGACCCATTTACATCCTACGGGTTTTACACCGTTAGGTAATTCAACCAAATTCCAAACATCATTTTTCTTCATGGAGTCAAGCTCTTCAATCATGGCTTTATTCCATTCAGAAGACTGATCACTGTTAATGGCTTCATTGTAAGAGGTAGGATCAGTAAACTTTCCAGCATCCATTTCTGCTTCAGTCAGGTAGGTAACATAATCATCAAAGTTAGTAGGCCTTTTAGACCTTGATGACCTCCTGAGCAAATTATCGGGTTGAGCATTGGCGGCATTGTCTTGATGGTGATTATTTGAGGTGTCTTCATTTCCAGGTACATTAGGAGTAGGAGGTGGTGCAGTGTCCTGCGGATTGGCATTGAGTACAAGAGGAGTAATTGGAGGTAAAGTAATTGACAAGTCTCTCCCCCCCGCGTCTTGTACTTCTAGCAATTCATCATAAGGGTTTTCACTGCTCCCACTGACCTTAAAATCTTCAAGGAAATGAGCATCTTTGGTTTCTACAATGCGAGTGAC